TTATTAAAATGTTTAACTTTAAATAAGAGGATTAAAAGACATTGTGATCGTAAAATTTATACAATTAATAGGATTTGCTTGGCGAATTTTTAAGTGGGACTTTCTTTCAGATTCTTATGTGTATGACTCTTCTCTTGTTAAAGACAATTAGGAAATTAATCTAAACTTAGAAAATCAAAGCACATTCTCCTCCTTTCGGTTTGGATTTCTATCCTGAAGATGTTTTCACAATATACGTTTACTGCTACACGTTACTATTTTCTTTAAAGAGTGCAGTAGTTGGGCCGGAAAACTCGGTAAGTTCGCCCTCAAAGACTGGCATTAGCCTCAAGAACCCCCAAACTTGGAGAATTGGAATATTTAGTTGCGGAAAAATGTGACCTCAGAAACCTCGCCCCGAAAAGAATTCAATACAAGCTAATTTGCCTAGCTATATTTGCTTACAAGAACTGGCCCTTTAACATCCCACTCTTAAAAAAATTAACCTCGGGAAAATTCTCCCCGGATTATCCGTATACCGTATTATACTGAATGGTGTACCGCAAAAGGTCATTGAATTGCCTCAACATACCAATACGTGGAAGAATCCACCCCTAAAAGACTCAAGATGAATGAAGGAAACTTTAGTAAAGAATTCTTCTGCCTATGATGCATTTCGTGATCGTCCCATGAACCTGCATTTAGCTTCAACCCTAAAAGCACTACAAATTTTATAACAAGGGTCTGCATCAGAAGAGCATATTCATACTCAACTGCAATAGCTATTTATGGGGTGTGCGGTAAATTCGCCCCGGAAGACTCGCCCCGGTAAATTCGCCCCCGAAAATTCGCCCCCGGAATATTCGCCCCCAAGTAAATTCGCCCCCGGAATATTCGCCCCCGGAATATTCGCCCCAAGTAAATTCGCCCCCAACAAATTCGCCCCCGGAATATTCGCCCCGACAAATTCGCCCCCGTAGCATTCGCCCCATAACATTTATTAACCCTCGGAAGTAATAGGTTGGTTTAAATTAATTAAATAAATATTTGCAAAAATTACGATATTTGGAACTGAATACGGCGAGACTGACAACTCGAAATTGTTCATATTCAATCGTCTCTCACCTGTTAAAGGCTGATTCAACGGTTCAACGTCAACCGTATGTTTACAATACATTTTACAACAAATTGCGTTTACAAAGGAGTCTAATTACTCAGCCATTTATGGATGTATTGAAAGGTTTTTGGCATCAATGTACAAACAAAGAATGATTCTTTCTTTAGACTTACATTTGAAAATTGGTCCAGATTTGATGTAAATTTGTGTTGAAAAACACCAACATTGATGAAGTTTGCTGAAGTATCAAATCATAATTAAAATAATGTAAAAAAATCTAATTCGAAACATCCCATTTCTTTAAAATATAAAAAAAAGTTTGCTTATATATTTATTAGTTAAGTAGCAATTAGTCTGCTACGGTACTCTTGTACTCGTTCCAAATTCAGCCCGTCGGATCAGCTTTAAATTTGAGAATTTTTGTAAAAAATGTGCAAATGCCATAAAAGTTTTAAAATGTCCAAAGTATCCACTTGAGATCAAAAAATGTTGAACGTTGACCATTTACAAAAAATTTAGACCTTAAAAAGACAATGAATTTAGTATATACTTTGTGTCCTCCTACTATTATGTATAAAAATCACAATACAGACACGTATTTATTACTGATGCCATAAGGAGTTCCTTTTTTGCTGTTGTCAGTTTGATTTTCAGATTTTTGTATTTACGAAAGGTGAAATATTGTGTTTGATTTACAATAAAATAAACTCTTCGTCTATTAGGATTGTAATATTTAAAATTGTGCACAAAATTCTTTTTTTTAAGTAAATCTAACTACCTAATTAAAAAATAATACAAAACTTACCAGCACCACGTGAAACCGATCTTCTTCAATACTCAAAACTATTTTTTCACACGGGTTTACACCAAACTCAAAAACCGTGTTCAAGCCAAGTATTGATCCGAAAGTTAAAAAAAGGCCGTAGAATCGTTAACCAAAAATCAAAGTTCGTATTCGCGCCAAAATATAACAAGTAGCAACATAAAAAGTTTCAAAACAATTACACCACCAATGACCAAACGAGCCATCAAACGTTCTGTTAGGAAGAAATGAAGCTAACAACTCAGTCAATCAAAAATGTCATTTAAATTAGATTATATATTACCTTCTTTTGTAATACAAGAGTTAAGGTGGATTTTCCATATGTCATGTCTGAAATTATAGAAGTCATTGTGAATATAGGATTTATTTCCTTTGGATGTCAAATCCTTTGCAAATCACCCTTACTTTATTCAACCTTATGTTAATTACCTATTCATATTTTAGTTAACAGGTATTTGAGTGCTATTATTCTACCCCCTTTATGTAGGTATACACAGGTATTACAAAAAAAATTAAAATTAAGCAAAATTCATTTTATGAACTGCTAGCCCTGTTACCTCCGAGGATTAATAAATCTTATGGGGCGAATCCTACGGGAGCGGAATCGCCGGGGGCGAATCTTCCAGGAGCGAATTTGTCGGGGGCGAAATTGCCGGGGGCGAATTTTCTGGGGCGAATCTTACGGAGGCAAATAGTCCGGGGGCGAATTTACTTGGGGGCGAGTTTTCTTGGGGGCGAATTTTCCAGGGCGAATCTTACGGAGGCGAATAGTCCGGGGGCGAATTTAATTGGGGGCGAGTTTTCCGGGGCGAATTTTATGGGGCGAATCTTACGGAGGCGAATAGTCCGGGGGCGAATTTACTTGGGGCG